CATACCAATTAAAGTATTTAAGTTGGTAAGATATGATGGATAGATGGTTTTCTTTTTTGCTATTGTTCTGATTTACTTTTCTTTTTTTCCTTTTTTTTTTAGATAGGTGATATGATTAGAAATTAGGTATGATAGAAGAAAAATGTCTTTAAAGAATGTCATGATTAAAAGTTAGAATAAGAGATAGAAATAAGAGAAAAGGGGAATATTGGTGTATGCACTTTTATATAATAAAATAGGAGGATTATCAGAAAAAACATGGAATAATTGAATAATAACAGATTACAACTTAATATAAATATGTATTATTATGAGAAATATGTAAGTTGGTTGAAAGCAATAACTATGACTAATTTTATTAGTTTTATTTGTATTCATACGTATTACACCCAGGTGCCACACTGTTCACGCATTGATGTTTGTAGAAAAATAAAATAAAACACTTTTTTCTAAAAAAAGAATTTCCTAACTGTTTGATGTTTGATGTGAGCAGTCTTCTCATTTCTTAGCTCATACTTTTTTTTAGAAAAGAGATTGATGTAACTCTGATTGCATATCACAGATATAAATATTAAGCAGAACATCTCTATGTATAATAAAACCAAAACTCCTAAGAGTACCAAATAGATTCTAAAGAAAGAAATTAAGTTTATTAACAAAAATATATGTGCTAACAGAAATCCTGAAAGAAGCTTAGTTTGATTTTGGAACAATCTGCTCCTACTTCATTTGAAAGGCAATAAGAGGTATTCTGCAAATGTGCAACTTGGAAGACTTAATTCCTTTTATTTGTTTGCTTTCTATAACATCATGCTCATAGAAACAGTAATGCTATAAATACAATTTCTGAATATAATATGTTGCTACAATTGAGACAGCTGTAAATTCCTACAGATATATTAAATACTTTCTGCATTCGAGAAAGATCAAATGCGATCAACCTTTGGATCAAAATAACTGAAATAGGCTTCAGGATTTAAGATTCATGAAATTATGCACAAAAACACTCATATATAGAAATCACTGTTTTGCAAAAAATAACATTTATGGGTATTTGCATGGTTATCTTTTTATAGTAAGAATAATAGGTTTTGCTTATTATTTTACTGGTAAATTAACTATGCAATTTTATAATTTATTATATACTTACTCTCTTTTCCATTCTCTCCCTTGATCTATCTATCTGTGAAAATGTGTGTTCCACATTTGTTTTTTCCTTAAGTTTTGCATATCTTTCCTATTGAAAGTTCAATCAATCAATTTTATTTGTCTTTCTCCAGCACAAAGAATAGGATAAACAATACAGATTGAGTCACAAAAGCATGAAATAATTCTATCACTTAAAAGCACCCTATCATATTAGATATTAACAGTATACATAGATTTTACAAAATGCCTATCAGAGTAAGATCCATAAACTGGACATCTAGGTCTGATTCATATATAAAATACATTGAAATAAATAATAAACAAATGTGAATCTTTTATCATGTATTTCAAATGCATCATATTCAGTTTGTAAGTGCCAGTATGAAAAGACAAATCATTGCTATAATTTATTCAGTTATTTCTATTTAAAGTATGATTGGGACAGTTACGTGTGCATATTCTTAAACAATTTGAGCTGATATAGGAAAGATCTGCCCTACATAATTCTCACAAACTTTAGTGGTCACCATCACAATGAAATTCTCACCACATAGATTCTAAAGTTGCTTCATCCACCATTCAAAAACAATTTCTGAAGATCTCATTTTATTTAAATTTCTTGATGATTATCAGTTTGACTAAAGTCAAGGTAAGGTAAAGGTTTTCCTCGCACTTATGTGCTAGTCATTCCTGACTCTAGGGGATGGTGTCCATCTCTGTTTCAAAGCCAAAGAGCCAGCACTGTCTGAAGACATCTCTGCGGTCATGTGGCCGGCATGACTAAATGCCGAGGCTGCTACCTTCCCACCAAAGTGGTACCTATTTTTCTACTTGCATTTTTACATGCTTTCGAACTGCTAGGTTGACAAAAACTGGGACAAGTAGCAGGAGTTCACTCAGTTACACAGCACTAGGGATTCGAACCGCTAAACTGCCGACCTTTCTGATTGACAAACTCAGCGACTTAGCCGCTGAGCCAACATGTTCCTATAAAAGTCAATGTACATT